GCGGTTTGGCGGTTCCGTACCTGTCGTCGCCTCCCCATCGCCGCTCCGTCTCCGCCTCGTCGCCGCCCGCTGCCGCCGTTGGAATGCGCCACATAAAATGCGGGGAAAAACAACGCCTGCGGTGCGTGTTTCTGATTGCCCGCCACATAGATTGCACCGCACAGAGTGCACACATATTGCACAATCGTTGCGCCGACCGTTTGGTATGAAACATCAGAGATGGGGTGCCCCCTCCCCGAAGGGAAATGGTTGTTTGAAGAGGCAAGGACAAATCCGCTTGTCCACATTTTGCCGAAAGGACAGATGGGTTCAAATCGCGGTGGGTGTCTAAAGACCGAAGCAGTGGCGCAGTGCGTAACGAAGATCCATTGTGATCCACATGCAACACAGTGGGGGCCCATGCCAAGAAACACCCTGCTTGCCTCCAGGGTGCTCCGGATTTCTTCGGTTTCGATGGCTTTGCAGTGGAGAGCGTGACGTTCCCACAACAAAAATCGATGGACGCCCTGTGGCATCGGGGTTGGGTTTCTTGCGGGAGGTCTCTTGTGGTCGGGCCTCTGGTGTATGACGCGCTTCAACACGACAGGGGGGCTGAGCGTGGACATTTCCGACACGCTGTGGGTCGGCACGGGCGCGCGTGGCGGCGTCAGGAGGTCGTTTCCCAAGCATCCTGTGGTGTTGGGTCCTCGTTTTGAAAACACAGCGCCCCACGTGCATCCTCTCCTTCCTCCTCCCCCTCCCTCCTCCCTCTTCCCATCGGTGCCTCTGTCTCCCCCACCCAGCACAGCGCTTCGTGGCCCCATAAGGAGTTCCACCTAGGGCCCCGGTGGCGGTGTCCACATGCGCCCCCCCACCCAGCACAGCGCTTCGTGGCCCCATAGGGAGCTCCACCGCAAACCCCAGCGACGGTGTCCACATGCGTCCCCCCGCTCCCCTCCCCCAGCGTTCCACGCGCAGGAGCTGCAGCTTCGATTTTGCAGCCCGCAGCCAGGCGGATTGACAACTATCGCGCGGTCTCCAGGGCCAATGGACCACGCCGCCGCTCCCCGCACGATCTCGTCTAAGGGCCACGCACTGCTGCTTGGCGCCGCTCGCCGTCGAAGTCCGCCAGACGCCGGCGCCGCACTTGGCGCTGCGGAAGGTCCAGAGTCCCACCGGGGCCGCGCAACACGGCGCCGCCATGCGCGATGCAGGGCACTCGATGGCAACCACGCGCCGCATTTGGCCCATCACGTAGCCGCGGCGACGTGGCCCACGGAGACGCGATCGCAGATTTTCAGGCGAGCGCGCATGGCAACCGTGACTTGGAATCCATTGGAACGCTTTACGCAGCTCGCCCTTCAGTTTCTTAGGCGCGGACATCGACGCCAGGAACCCCACGCCCATGGCGAACGCGGTCTCGGCGATGCCGTGAGCGCGCTCGGCAATGACGTCCCTAAGGATGGACCAGTCCCGCCCGTCGCACTGCTGGACGCAACGCCGAAATACGTGGTTCGCGTAATGTTTAACGACCCTGCGTTTGGCGCCTGCTCTCCATCGACCAGCGCGCGGGCAATGGCTCCCATTTCGCTATGAGCGCGGGCAGGTGCATGAGATCCGCGTGCGCGCCCGCGCGCCGCGTGAGCGTGCGGGTGGGAACGGGCACCCGTTCTCGTGGCCACATCCGCGCTGGAGTCAAATCTCACCGAAACCAGCCGACCTCGCTGCCGCCCGCGCTTTCGCCAAATCCATCCCCGTCGCCGCCGTCACGTTCAATTATCATCGCAATCGCGCCCCGCCCCCCCCCACCATGGCCGATTCGAGGCGCGCTCATCGCAGCGGCCTCCGTCCTCGCGCCTCCCCCCCGCCCTCGACGCATCGAACGCCGTTTGATTGCGGCGCGGCTGCAGCCCGCGTTTCTATTTTTGCGTGCTAGACTTATGTATATGTCCCGAACAGTACTTGCGCCCAGGCTTTATTATCTACAGGCTTACGCCACATCTGCCGACCCCTTCTGTGACTGTTGCGAGGCCAGGAGTTTCTGGCCAGCGGCGTCTTGTGTGAGGGTGCGGTGTCGCGCGCGGGTGGTGGCAGATACGTAGCGGGTCCAAATGTTTGCGTGATGCCGGTGGTCTGGGGCGTGTTTTGCGAGCGCCTTGCGTGCTGTGCGCCCGGGTGCGGGGTGTCCTTTTGGGAGGTCGGCTTTTCGACCCTCAACCAAGTGGAGGAACACCGGAAGACGAAATGAGCAAGAGTAGCGTGCGGAAGCTGTGATCAGCGAAGCATCGCCGCGAAAGATGTGGCAGATGAGTCGAAACGGGTGAAGAGGCTGTTGACGTTCGCAGCGCGCACGAAACAGTTCGCGTAGCAGCAGCACACTAGCGCCGAACAAGATTGTGAGCACGTCGCGAGGAAGAGTAAGGCTGCATGCGCGGGGTGCATTGCAGTTGGCTCGACGGCTCGCAATGCGGAAGCGTCTGGGGGTCTTTTGGAGGCCTCCTGGGGGCCTCTTGGGGGCTCCTTGGGGCGTCTTGGCGGCCTTTTGAGGGCCTCTGGCGGCCTCTTGGGGCACTCTTGGGGCCCCCTGGGGCTCGTGGGGGCGGAAAGCTAGATTTTTGAATTTTTGGTTGCCCTCTTGGGCCCCTCTTGGTGCCGTCTTGGAGCCTTCTTGGGCCGTCTTGGGGACCTCTTGGGCCGTCTTGATGATGATGATGATGATGATGCTGATGATGATGATGATAGAGGCTTCCGCCACTCTGCTGCTTCGTGGACCAAGGGAAAAGGAGAGTGACCCCGGTCCCGCATCAGAAATATCACAAGGAGCTCTCAAGATAGCCTCCAGACGGCCCAAGCGGACCCCGCGATTGCCCCAAAACGAATTCAATACGACCGAAGGTGGCCCGAAGCGATTCCCTAGGATGCCTCTAGCCTCCCAGACGGTCCAGGTGTGCCCTCAGATTTCCCAAGAGGGCCTTCAACACCGCTGCAGTGCTCCCCAGCAGGTCCGCAGGGCTCCCAGGTGGACTCAACGTGGCCCAGGTGCTGCCCGAGACAGCCCACGGGTACTAGAAAAAATAGCACGAGAGGCCCCCAAGAGGCAAGCCATGCTGGTCCTCCCCGGTGTTTGCATGGTCGCATAGCTTTCGCACAGTCGCCGGTCTGGATATCAGAGTGTCCCGAACGGTTCTTGGATTGTACTCAGCGTTCCAGCAGGCCTCAGGAGTCCTCCAAGAGGATCCCCATACGCATCCCGAAACAATTCGAGGCTCATGGCAGTCTGGCTCAAGTAAGCGAGCTTATCGAGTAACCTTTCCTTACATTCTCGTTGCGCCCTGCAGGATGGCAGTACTGAGCGCGCCGAGCCTGTTGCGCTTGCTGGCACTTGTCTACGCCGTGCCCGCCGCGATGTCTATCAGGGCAGGCTCCGCGAAAGACACGCCTGCCCACGCGCCGGCACCAAACGCCAGTTTCACCTTCCGCACCGACGCCAGCGCCAACGCTAGCGTTCTGAACATCAACTTTCAAAATGAAGGGACGGCTGTGCCATCTGGCTGGCTTCCAGATTACGGGTACGTGTATGGTTCACGGGGTAACGGGTACATGTATGGTTGGTTTTGTGGCAACAATGCGGCATACAAGGCTAACGGGTGGCCCACTACAAATGGAAGGAATCGCGCAGTGAGCGGTTATGATGACTTGCAGAACACAGGAGTGGTCCCTGACCGTCACTCAAATTGTGCAGGCGAGCATTGGAACATCGCGGTGTCTAATGGAGACTATCTGGTTGAAGTTGTGATACAGGATACCGTGCACTCAAGTCAGACGAGCGGGTGCAGATTGGAAGGGCAGTCGCTAGGTCTCGGCAAAGTTCCTGCTGGGGCAGGAGCAAGTAAGATTCTCGCCGTTTCTGTCAGCGATGGGCTCTTGACATTTACTGGAAGTTGGGCCAATTCGTGTTCAATAATCAACCGTCTCATTATCCAGCAGGCGGCGACACCAGCACCGACGCCTGCACCAACGCCCTACCCCACCCCTTCCCCGACGCCTTTCCCGACACCCGACCCGACGCCCCTGCCGACGCCGCATCCGACGCCCTACCCGACGGCGTTCCCGACGCCCTTCCCGACGCCGTTCCCGTACCCAGCGTTCCCGACGCCCCACCCAACGCCCGTCCCGACGCCCGTCCCGACGGCGTTCCCGACGCCTGTCCCCACGCTTTACCCGACGCCTTACCCGACGTCGTTCCCGACGGCGTTCCCGACAGCGTTCCCGACGCCCCACCCAACGCCCGTCCCGACGTCCAGCCCGACTCTCAGCCCGACGCCCAGCCCGACGTATCCTCCAGGTTGGCCAACACCATATCCGACGTTCCTTTCTTCAGGTTCTCCAGCGGCAGGGGGCGTGGCTGCCACTGGCGACCCCCACCTTCAAAATGTGTATGGCGAGCGGTTCGATTTGATGAAGCCAGGGCGGCATATTCTGATCAACATCCCTCGTGCAGAGCGAGATGAAAAAGTATTGCTCCGCGTGGAGGCCGATGCGCGCCGATTGGCGAAAGCAGTGCACGGAAATCTATTACAAGGTCGTGAACCGTGGACCGGGCATTGGGCAGACGGTAAACAAGCCGGAGGGTATCATTACAGCGCGTCGCGGAATGGGGCCGAGGTTCCAGAGTGGGTTGTTTTCAGTGGGGTCGAGTTGAAGGTTGTTCGCGGGCATACGCACAGCGGCTTGTCGTATCTCAACGTGTTCGTGAAGCATTTAGGGCGCGCAGGGTTTCCTGTCGGAGGCCTTCTGGGAGAAGACGACCACGAGTACGTTACCGCCCGTCCGGATGAATGTGCGAAGCGTACGGAGCTCCTTGAGTCTTCGCATTCGCATGGGCTTGGGGGTTCTCCATCATCTGTTGCGTCCTTCGCTGCTGCGTCCTTCGCTTGATAGGGGTCAGCAGCCCTCTGCTGAGAAAGGGGAGCGTGCGGGAGCTCGGCGCGAAACTTTTTACTAAACTCTTTAAAGGCGTGACGATGGCACGATGTTCGTAGCCTCATGATCGCTTCGTCGTAGGGAGAAGGCTGGCCGCCAGGATGGAGTAGGGATGGCGGGAGAGGGCGGAGGAGGACGCAGGAGACGGGAGGAGGGAGGAGGGAGGAAGAGTTGGGAGGGAGGTGCGATGAGTAGTACGGAAGAGGAAGGAGAGGGGGGGGAGTTTAGCGGTGGCGTTTCGCCCCAGCCTTCATCTTTTTTGGCTCCCTGAGTCTCTCAGTCTCCCTCCCTCTCAGTCTCTCGCGCTCCCAGCCTTCATCTTCTTTGGCTCCCTGAGACTCTCAGTCTCACTCTCTCTCTCAGTCTCTCTCTTGCTATCTCTTTGTTTTCTCTCTCCCTCTCTCTTCCTCTTCTCTTTCCCTCTCTCTCTCTCTCTCTTACTCTCTCTCACTCTCCTCTTGTTCTCTCTCTCTCTCTCTCGCTCATTCTCTTTTTGTTGTTCCTCTCTCTTCCTCGTTCTCTCCCTCTCTTTCTCCCTCTCTCTCTCTCTCTTTCTCTCTTTCTCTCTCCAAGAGACTGCGTGGGCGGTTTGGCGGTTCCGTACCTGTCGTCGCCTCCCCATCGCCGCTCCGTCTCCGCCTCGTCGCCGCCCGCTGCCGCCGTTGGAATGCGCCACATAAAATGCGGGGAAAAACAACGCCTGCGGTGCGTGTTTCTGATTGCCCGCCACATAGATTGCACCGCACAGAGTGCACACATATTGCACAATCGTTGCGCCGACCGTTTGGTATGAAACATCAGAGATGGGGTGCCCCCTCCCCGAAGGGAAATGGTTGTTTGAAGAGGCAAGGACAAATCCGCTTGTCCACATTTTGCCGAAAGGACAGATGGGTTCAAATCGCGGTGGGTGTCTAAAGACCGAAGCAGTGGCGCAGTGCGTAACGAAGATCCATTGTGATCCACATGCAACACAGTGGGGGCCCATGCCAAGAAACACCCTGCTTGCCTCCAGGGTGCTCCGGATTTCTTCGGTTTCGATGGCTTTGCAGTGGAGAGCGTGACGTTCCCACAACAAAAATCGATGGACGCCCTGTGGCATCGGGGTTGGGTTTCTTGCGGGAGGTCTCTTGTGGTCGGGCCTCTGGTGTATGACGCGCTTCAACACGACAGGGGGGCTGAGCGTACAAGTGCACTTTCACGTTTCTTTGGGTCGGCACGGGCGCGCGCCGTGGCGGCTATGTTGCGATGGTCGTTCCCAAGCATCCTGTGGTGTTGGGTCCTCGTTTTGAAAACACAGCGCCCCACGTGCATCCTCTCCTTCCTCCTCCCCCTCCCTCCTCCCTCTTCCCATCGGTGCCTCTGTCTCCCCCACCCAGCACAGCGCTTCGTGGCCCCATAAGGAGTTCCACCTAGGGCCCCGGTGGCGGTGTCCACATGCGCCCCCCCACCCAGCACAGCGCTTCGTGGCCCCATAGGGAGCTCCACCGCAAACCCCAGCGACGGTGTCCACATGCGTCCCCCCGCTCCCCTCCCCCAGCGTTCCACGCGCAGGAGCTGCAGCTTCGATTTTGCAGCCCGCAGCCAGGCGGATTGACAACTATCGCGCGGTCTCCAGGGCCAATGGACCACGCCGCCGCTCCCCGCACGATCTCGTCTAAGGTCACGCGGCCCAAGCGGACCCCGCGATTGCCCCAAGACGAATTCAATACGACCGAAGGTGGCCCGAAGCGATTCCCTAGGATGCCTCTAGCCTCCCAGACGGTCCAGGTGTGCCCTCAGATTTCCCAAGAGGGCCTTCAACACCGTTGCAGTGCTCCCCAGCAGGTCCGCAGGGCTCCCAGGTGAACTCAACGTGGCCCAGGTGCTGCCCGAGACAGCCCACGGGTACTAGAAAAAAGATCACGAGAGGCCCCCAAGAGGCAAGCCATGCTGGTCCTCCCCGGTGTTTGCATGGTCGCATAGCTTTCGCACAGTCGCCGGTCTGGATATCAGAGTGTCCCGAACGGTTCTTGGATTGTACTCAGCGTTCCAGCAGGCCTCAGGAGTCCTCCAAGAGGATCCCAATGCGCATCCCGAAACGATTCGAGGCTCATGGCAGTCTGGCTCAAGTAAGCGAGCTTATCGAGTAACCTTTCCTTACATTCTCGTTGCGCCCTGCAGGATGACAGTACTGAGCGCGCCGAGCCTGCTGCGCTTGCTGGCACTTGTCTACGCCGTGCCCGCCGCGATGTCTATCAGGTCAGGCTCCGCGAAAGACACGCCTGCCCACGCACCGGCACCAAACGCCAGTTCCACCTTCCGCACCGACGCCAGCGCCAACGCTAGCGTTCTGAACATAAACTTTCAAAATGAAGGGACGACTGTGCCTTCTGGCTGGCTTCCAGATTACGGGTACGTGTATGGTTCACGGGGTAACGGGTACACTTATGGTTGGTTTTGTGGCAACAATGCGGCATACAAGGTTAACGGGTTGGCCACTACAGCGGGAAGGAATCGCGCAGTAAGTGGTTATGATGATTTGCAGAACACAGGAGTGGTCCCTGACCGTTACTCAAGTTGTGCAGGCGAGCATTGGGACATCGCGGTGTCTAATGGAGACTATTTGGTTGAAGTTGTGATACAGGATACCGTGTACTCAAGTCAGACGAGCGGGTGCAGATTGGAAGGGCAATCGCTAGGTCTCGGCAATGTTCTTGCCGGGCCAGGAGCAAGTACGATTCTCGCCGTTTCTGTTAGCGATGGGCTCTTGACATTTACTGGAAGTTGGGCCAATTCGTGTTCAATAATCAACCGTCTCATTATCCAGCAGGCGGCGACACCAGCACCGACGCCTGCACCAACGCCCTACCCCACCCCTTCCCCGACGCCTTTCCCGACGCCCGACCCGACGCCCTTCCCGACGCCGCATCCGACGCCCTACCCGACGGCGTTCCCGACGCCCTTCCCGACGCTTTACCCGACGCCCTAACCCGACGACGTTCCCGACAGCGTTCCCGACGCCCCACCCAACGCCCGTCCCGACGCCCTTCCCGACGGCGTTCCCGACGCCTGTCCCCACGCTTTACCCGACGCCTTACCCGACGCCGTTCCCGACAGCGTTCCCGACGCCCCACCCAACGCCCGTCCCGACGCCCGTCCCGACGGCGTTCCCGACGCCTGTCCCCACGCTTTACCCGACGCCTTACCCGACGTCGATCCCGACGGCGTTCCCGACAGCGTTCCCGACGCCCCACCCAACGCCCGTCCCGACGTCCAGCCCGACTCTCAGCCCGACGCCCAGCCCGACGTATCCTCCAGGTTGGCCAACACCATATCCGACGTTCCTTTCTTCAGGTTCTCCAGCGGCAGGGGGCGTGGCTGCCACTGGCGACCCCCACCTTCAAAATGTGTATGGCGAGCGGTTCGATTTGATGAAACCAGGGCGGCATATTCTGATCAACATCCCTCGTGCAGAGCGAGATGAAAAAGTATTGCTCCGCGTGGAGGCCGATGCGCGCCGATTGGGTCGGCAGTGCACGGAAATCTACTTCCAAGTCGTGAACGTGACCGGGCATTGGGCAGACGGTAAACAAGCCGGAGGGTATCATTACAGCGCGTCGCGGAATGGGGCCGAGGTTCCAGAGTGGGTTGTTTTCAGTGAGGTCGAGTTGAAGGTTGTTCGCGGGCATACGCACAGCGGCTTGTCGTATCTCAACGTGTTCGTGAAGCATTTAGGGCGCGCAGGGTTTCCTGTCGGAGGCCTTCTGGGAGAAAACGACCACGAGTACGTGACCGCCCGTCCGGATGAATGTGCGAAGCGTACGGAGCTCCTTGAGTCTTCGCATTCGCATGGGCTTGGGGGTTCTCCATCATCTGTTGCGTCCTTCGCTGCTGCGTCCTTCGCTTGATAGTGGTCAGCAGCCCTCTGCTGAGAAAGGGGAGCGTGCGGGAGCTCGGCGCGAAACTTTTTACTAAACTCTTTAAAGGCGTGACGATGGCACTATGTTCGTAGCCTCACGATCGCTTCGTCGTAGGGAGAAGGCTGGCCGCCAGGATGGAGTAGGGATGGCGGGAGAGGGCGGAGGAGGACGCAGGAGACGGGAGGAGGGAGGAGGGAGGAAGAGTTGGGAGGGAGGTACGATGAGTAGTACGGAAGAGGAAGGAGAGGGGGGGGAGTTTAGCGGTGGCGTTTCGCCCCAGCCTTCATCTTTTTTGGCTCCCTGAGTCTCTCAGTCTCCCTCTCTCTCAGTCTCTCGCGCTCCCAGCCTTCATCTTCTTTGGCTCCCTGAGACTCTCAGTCTCACTCTCTCTCAGTCTCTCTCGCTATCTCTTTGTTTTTTCTCTCTCCCTCTCTCTTCCTCTTCTCTTTCCCTCTCTCTCTCTCTCTTACTATGGGACTGTGAGGTCTACCACACCGCCTGGGACCCAGCCACTTCGGCGCAGTTTGCCTTAGTGCGCGCTCATCGTCCCCCACCCACATATACGGTACAGGTCGCAGGGTGCCCCATCCCGTGGAGCATCACCGAGGCCCCGTTGGCTGAGGTCGTGCCGAAGAGGGATAACGTCACCATTGTCACCCCTACAACTATCACAGAGCCTGTGACGCCGCCCGCCCGTGGTGGCGGCTTCAGCCCCGCCACGGGCACACTCTTAACCACAGCGGCCCAAAGCCCCTACCTCCACGACCTCATGACTGCCACGCCCAAAGGCAAGGGCGTCGCACCGCTCCCGATCCCCAAGGAGGAGCCTTTAGCCAAGCGCCACCGATCCTCCAGCGGGAAACGCGACGCCACGCCGCACGCAAGATCACTCGGCGCTCCAGGCCGCAGCTCCTCTGCACCCCCGCACGGCACGGATGGAGCTGCCGAGCAGACGGCCGTCCAAGGACCAGGTGGGGACGGGCATGACCCGCAACCTGACACGGGGGCGGCCGAAGGTGGGGGCCACACGGAAGGGCACGCTGACGCAGCCGCTGAGGTACCAGGCGACGTCGAGATCCTCTCATCAGAGGATGAATTCAGCGAGGCATCGCGCGAACCGAACACCTTCGGCGAACGCTTCGCTACGGCCCCTAAACTGTCAGATGCCGCTACGACCCGCATCCAACACATGGAACAACAGCACGAGCTGCTTGCCAACACGGTGGACAACATGCAGGGCCAGCTTGCGGGCGTTCTCTCATCCCAGGCCACACTCACGGAGCACGTTACAGGCTTGGAACGAGGGCTTGCCACCGTCGTCACTCAGCAACAGACGGCAACTACCGAAGCTGCTGCACTGCGCGGCGACATCCAGGCCCTCCTCGGGCACCTCACGGGGGGTACCATCCACCTGCCCCAGGTGGCCACCCTCGATACCAAAAAGGAGGAAGCTGCACCAGTTGCCGACCCCGTGGCTGTCTGCGGGTGGATCGACCAGCCAGGCCAGGTCACTCCAGGGACGGGGCCCCCAGGGGCTGACAAAGGCAAAGACAAAGGGCGGGCCACACAGGAACCCTATTGAAGGTGCCTCAGAGGGCCCGCCTCAGCCCTCCGAGGAAGCGCCTTCAGAGGCATCCCTTCTCACTTCTCGTCGTACATCCTCCTTGCTATATCATGTCATCTTTGGCAGCAGCACGAGCAAGCTACCTGGTGTAGGGACACCTGTCATCTTGCTGTGGGAGTGTTTGTTGCAATGTACATGAGCATGCAGGGGTACCTAAAGATGCGTGCTGACATGCAGCTTTTGGCTCATCGCTCGCGCCGTCTGCCAGGCCTCGCCATCATGTGGCGATTTGCTTTCAGCCTGGCCCTCCCCTCGCTCGCTGGAGCACACCCGTCTTCAGGCGGTGCGCCCCAGCATGGAGGTGGGTTTCTTCTGCAGCACGTCGAACGTGCGTCCCTTTTCTACCTCTACGATGACAGCATCTACAAGTACGATCACTGCACCATCTTGGACCCGATCGTCAACTGCACCGCTGCCGCGAGTCCGTGCAGTATTGGCCAGGCACACAGTGGCGGCTTCAGCCCCGCTGCTGTGCCCCGCTATTGCCCTACGGGTCCCACCACTCCCATGCGAGATAGGGGCGAACCCGAGGAAGACCCTGCTTTCTGGCACCAGATGATGATCCGCGCCCGGCTCATACCGTGTGCTGCGGCGTGGGCACCAGGTGAGGATAACCAGGACATGTTCTGGGCATGGCTCGAGGACTGCGTCCCGTACATCCTGGCGACGCTCCATCTGCCACAGTACGATAACCTCTTCCTTGAGGCGTCCGAGGACACCACCGACGCCCTGCGTCATCGCACCGCGGTCGACATGTGCGAGGACATCTGGCACAGAGCGGGCCCCGACAGGCAGCGCATCAACCGCAACCTCACTCGGATCCAGAGCAGCCGTGAGTACGCCACCCGCTATTTCGGCCTCCTTCTGGAGTACCAGGGCGCTCGTGCCACGCTCGTTGGCCCTGAGGCTTTCATGGCACCTTTGCCGCCATACCTCTCACGGGCCCATGCTCTGCTGCCAAGAGGTCTCCCTCCACCCGACCATGACGCCATGGCGTACCTCGCTGATGTTATCCTGCACCAACCGCCAGACATGCTGCCGCTCGTCGAGGCGGGGCTCGCTGCGGCGCCGACGGACGGCACCGATCAGGCCGCAGAAGATCCCGTATCATGGCTGCTCCAGCACATCGCGGCCAGCGATATCGGCAATACATCCATGGACTCGTTCCACGCGTCGGAGGATAGCCAGGGCGACATCGATATCCAGGATCGAGACGGCACGATACCATCAGGCGACTCGGCTCAGCGTGACCGCGACAGTGAGCCTCACTCTGGGCTCGCCCCGTGCAACGCAGTGCGCCCCACACCTCAGATCAGGCCGACCCTTCTGCGCGGCCTAACGACGCTGAAGGCGTCACTGCCGCTGATGTGACTAGCCATTCCACTGCCTCGCCAGCTCATGCCAGGCCGTGCAGTGGCGGCTTCAGCCCCGCTGCACCACTGGCTAGACCTGGACATCCCCAGACCGCAGGAGGTGACAACGTGACTGACTCCAACCCCAGTGCCATCGACCACTGGCAGGCCGACATCGACAACGACCCCATCGATGATGATCACCCAGAGGCCAGCGGTCCCCACGAGCCCCAGCACAGCTCAGCGGCATCACGACATTGTGGCTGCCTCATCTGCCTCCTGGTGGCCACGTACGCCATCGTGATAGCAATGCCGTACAAGGACCAGATCGATGGATACTTGCCGACCCCGAGCCGAGACCCCAGCTACCGACAACGACGACGACGCCAAGCGACCGCACCAGGCCCATCGGTGTCCACTATATTCCGACGCAAAACGACATACTATGTCACGTCACATTGAGGGCCACTCTCAAATGGACCAGCGACAAACTCAGAGATGGTGTCTCGGGCGGAGCCACTGCAGTCGGGAGCGGCTTCGGGGGCGTCCTTACATGGGCCAGCGGCAAGCTAGGGGCAATAGCCACGGGTGGAGTTGTTTGTGGTCTTCTACTCGTCGGTGCCAAACTCCTTGCCCAGGGAGCTGTCGGACACGTAGGCGCCCGCATATGTGCGCGGGCCCTGGACTCATCCACTGCCCACTGGTGCCTCCGCTGTTGCCAACCGAGCAGGAAGCCGAAGGACGAGGCCACACACAAAATGCCGTGCACGCTCGCCGACGAACACGACGACCAGCAGGTGCACGCACTCCGACATCCGTTGCTACAGGAACACTACGCCGCAGCTGTTGCCGCCGCAGTCGCCGACGTCACCACCGCCACTACCGCCGCCATCGCGGAAGTCACAGCCGCCGTATCGCGAGCCTCGTCTGTCACACCAAGATCGACCAGCCCGACGCCACGAGACGGCTCCAAGAACGGCACGACATTCGGTAACCTACCGACCAACGAGGATGCCACAGCACACGGCAGCGACACCGAGCCAAGGGAAACGAGAGAACGCACCCATGGCAGCCCGTGGTCCATCTTCCGACATGCTGACGCTCGTGGTTCCTCCCCCTCCCCCGACGAGGACACCCAACCACCACGACGGCGAGCACGCTATGCATCACCTGACAGGCCCCAGGCGCCTTCAGGCCCTGGTACGCCTTACACTGCCCTCCAGCCACCGACACGCAACTCACGCAACACCATCCAGCGTGACCCAGCGGTCCCCGAGCCGCCGAAGAGCATACTTAACGCCCTGTACCAAAACGGCTTCGCGCTAGGGAACAGTGGCGTGTCCACTGAGGACATCAAAGACGCTCTACGAATCCACGACCACCCTCGATTCACTCACGACCCAACACTCCAAGTGCTGGGGCCGTGGACGGACATCATGCAGAGGCCACCGAACCGCCTCACTTGGGTGCTGGAAGACTCGGGCGGCAACTCGGGCGAGACAATTTTCCCAGACCTCACGTGGGACCTCCGTCAACCCACCACCGACGCGCCCACTGTTTTCTGGCATGGGACCCGCGGCGACCTTGCGGCCCGTCTTGCTGCCTGTGGAGGGCACCTCTTGCCAGGCCCCCGCCGTGAAACGAAGGGTCGAACTGGCACCAACGTTGGCCGTACGTACGTGAGCGTGCACCCTTCGCTGGCCGCGTGGTACGCGATACCGCCCCACCCGCCCTACAGCCTCGAAGACGACACCCTCGCGTGGGGACCCATCGCACTCTGGATGTGCGAAGCAACCCAACCACCGCGCGGGGAAAACAGGCACAACTACGTGAAAGGGGAGGCTCACGGAGCGCGCCTCATTTACCCTCGGGTCCTGAGCCTCCTCATCCGCATGGACTGGTGTGCCCCCACAGAAGCTGCTTCCAGGTGCCGTGCCCTTCCACGCGCCTATGGCATGGGTGACTGCGCGCACGCCCTCCACATTGCTGGCTACGATCATCCAGATCTCCGTGAGGCGGCTGACGCTCACGACCAGGAAGCTAGCACTAGGCGCAGATCAACCATCGCGGCAGCATGGCCACCACCGCAGGCGCTATACTCGCCAGAAGCGGCGCGAGCATGGGCCAAACAGCACTACGACACGGAAGCAGCCACCAGGGACGACCCTAATCAGCCTCGACCGCGCGTCTCGCTCCACATACTCCAGCTGGACCCGAAACCACTCATCGACCTGGTGTACACGGGCTTGCAAGCTGTCCCCGTACGGGGGCACCCTGACGCATACGGGTCGCGCCCCAGCGGCTCCAGCCCTGGGGCCGCGACGGACCCACCACGCACGCACAAGTCAGGCACAGCCTTAGCCCACAGTCCAGACCCCTCATCGACGTCATCTGGAGTCGACGAACGCCGTACGCCTTCCCTCATCAGCGCGGCCGCCGCCCTCGCCCGAGGCCGCGCCCGTGCGCGACGATCTGCCTCTCGCTCGTCACGACAGAGCGACGGGAACTCCACCTCCGACAACAGCG